TTTGAGAATTCTGCCCAGCAATTATGTTCTGTAGAAAAGATGCAAGTGACTGAATTATGAAATCAGTTTTCTTAAAGAAATCAAATATTAAATTAATGATTAAAATATCAATGCACATATCTACAAACATTATTGCAATGAATTTGTATACTTGCAAAGATGGTTATGAAATGCATAACACACACACACACACACACACATATATATTCCCCCCTTGGGGTAAATTTTAGACTTTTTGTTGTTGTTTACTTATAAACTAATAGTTTTGCAAACCAGAATTTAAAGCCACAATTATTGCACTTTTATTTAATTGTGTTTGGTCAAACCAATTTTGATGACAAGCTTTTATGTCTTACAGGTCTTTAACTTAAAATATTCTGGGAAAGAAGGCTTTGAAGATATTAAATGTTCAAATTTTGAATTCTGAGGATAAAAATGTCATGTTAATAAATTAATCTCTTACTACTAAAACTCACCAGTAAAATGCAAAAATTGAATTAGCTGAATTGCCAAAACACTCTTAATAACAAATCAGCATATATACACATCATGGTTATAAAGGTTTATAAATATTATAATAATATGAGTAATCTGCATTATTTTAGGAAGCAGCTTCTCTATGCTGTCACATAAATATGATTCCACTGGGTGTGACAAGAAATAAGAGTCTGAATAAATTTGGTCATAAAACAATGCAGTAACACTAAAGTACACAGAACAATAATTGGTATGCTGATGCACTACCCTTTTTTTTTGAAGCTCCTAAAAGCTTACAGACCTCATTTCATGATTTTTCCCTTACAAAAAATTTTTATTCATATTTATGTGGACACAGGCATACCTATAAAGTAAGATACATTTATCTCCACTGAAAGATCAATGAATGAATTCTAGATAAATAATGCAATGTGTGTTATACAGAACTCTGCAAAACATATACTTCCACATTATACTCTCAGACAAAAGCACAGAAAATTAGAAGCTGGAAATGATTATGCCAGATTTTTGGAGTTTTAATTTAGTGAGACTGTTAGACCTACAGAATTTCCATTAGGGACTTGGCAAGAAGATGTTAAAAGGACAAGTATAAAATATAATACATAAAAATGAGGCAATGTAGATTTAAAAAAAATATAACAATAAAACCATCCACCTAACATGAAACCTCATGATAATCTTCCTGCTTTTGATTACTCCTAATGCATACAATTCAAGAACTCAGATTTAGAACACTAAGGAACAATATGGATCTATAGGCAACTAAGAAATAATGAACAAATAAAATACCACTGTAGTTTATATTTTCTTTCTAAGGTAAAGGTAATTGTACAAGACGAATTGACTATTAAGTAGCAGTTTGATGCTATGCTTGCTGGAAACATATGTGCTAAGTACCCAATTATGTACAAATAATAAGCTCTATTGAGCATGAATATATTATTAAATTGTACTGTTTACTATGAAAAAAATTAAAAATATGTAATTCACAATCACATGAAAATAAATCTCCAAAAGACTCAATGACTACCATGATTTCCTCAACTCTTTCCCAAAACAAATATGAAATGTTATTTTGGAAGTACTCAACGTTTTAGAAGAATTAGATAACATTTGATAACTCAAATCATTCAATGATTCACTTGTTTTAAGCATATTAAGGGTATTTCTTTAATGGCAAAATACTTTATTATTCTGATCTATCTCATTTTAAAACAATTAAAATTATCAAGTGTTTAATGCTTATTAAAACATAAGTGATTCATTCAATGCAACAGACACAATAGGAAAATATATTTAAAAAATCTTGCATATCATTTTTACTTATTGCTATTATTCTCACCAATTCTGTGAAGTCTAGAAAACTTGGACTACTTTTCTTGAGGAAATATATGATCTTAGTTAACTAATATTGACTGGGAATAAATAAAATATTTTTTTGTTATTTTTATCTTCAGAAAATAATGGAATTATCAAGTGTACATTCCATATAGCTAACTGTAGTTAAAACACAAAATTAACAATGGGTTGCTCCTGAAGTCTCTATTCTTAGATATTAGGAACACTTATGTAACATTTCTTATTTTTCACTTATTTTTTAAAATTACAGTTAATGCAAAAGTTAATCACCCTAGTCAAAATTACACAGTTTAAAATTCTATATCTCTGTGTATATATTCATATACATACACACACGTACACATATATACATTTATATATAAAGCAATAAAACTTCAATGTTTTAACAAAATATCTCTAAAAGTTCAGAAGTTACTTACTTTCTATCAAGATGCATTGGAGGAATCATGATGTCCCAATTTATAAAAGAAAAACAAAGAAAAAAAAGAAGAAAAGAAAGTTAGTTTTCCAACATTAAACATGATTCCACATTTTACCATTTCCACACATAGGACAATGTGTAAGAACTAGACCAAAGCCTTAGATTTGGCTGCCTATGAGAAGATGGGAAGGAAAAAAAGGTCAGTAGGCTAAAAGTGACTTTGCTTTCCTTCCTAATTCTTCTACAATGTTTTCATTTTGTTCATAATGCACATATATTTCCAGATTATAAATACAATAAGAAACAACTAAGCAGGACAATGTACACCCCCAATTCTTTTCTTTCTTCCATCCTCTATAACTGGGCCTTTTCCTATACACCTGCCAGGATAGATATACAGCTTATTCTGTTTATTTGTTTTTTCCCCTAGACTGTAAGGTTGTGGAACCCTTCTGGTTTGTTTTCATTTCCCACAACCCCTGAAGCAGAACAGGGGTGGAATTTGGAGGCAGGGGAGCAGGCATAATTTAAACTGTCTAGACATCAAAGAACCCCCAGAGACACTTTGCAGAGCCCCAGTGCTGTGTGAAACACAGAAAAACCACTGCTTTATACCATCAAAATGCTGATGGGACATACAACATTTTACTAATAGTAGACACTTGGTGAAGGGAATGAATAGCCTCTCTATTTAAATAACTTTAAAATCCAGGAAGAATAGTGGAGAATGTGACTGAAAGACTATTTGCAAACATGACAAAGAAATATCATAATCATGGGCCTCCATTCCTTTATACATAAAGTAAAATGCTTTACATGACAGTACTGAAGTAAGCTTAATATTAAACTATTTTATTAATGTACCTGTTACTTTATAAGAATTTAGATGGAAGCTATTTCTCATAAACATTTTTAAATCTCATTTTCAGATATGGAAATATAAAAAAATAATCCTTTGCAACATAAGTGTAAAAACAGATTGAACAAGCAATTATTAAGCACCATTAGTTATTAGAAGTACTATTAATATCAACAATTATACGCTCACTCTCCTTTCAGAAAAATTATAATTGCTTTGTTCAAGTATTTCCAGTATCAGTTTTCAGAAAATATCTTAATTATAAAGAACACATCTTTAAGAGAAAAGTATGTGGGCCGCTGGCAATGCAAATATGATTTCAGCTGTTGATCTCTGTGTTTGGGTTATAAAATTAAATTGTTTATACTTAGGATATATGCACTTAAATCTACACGTTTTACTTCACAAAAAAAGTTTTTGAATGTTAAAAAGGAAATAATGTACCTTTGGATATATTTGACTATTCATTCTACAAGTGGAAAATTAAACTATTTTTACCAGTGAATGAGGATAACATCTAAGCACACATAGTAATATAGTATATATCAGCTGATAAAGCAGAGGCCTAGATGAATAAAAAGAACCCTAAAAGACCAAACTAATGTCTACTCTAAAGAAATATTACTACTAGTAAGAGATTTTCTTAAATGACTGCTAATAAAACCTTTATTAAATACTAAGGTCTTTTGTATGTTATATGAATAATACATGCATGTAAGTATGTAATTGTTATCTGAATAACTCCAGCACAAAACATGCACAAAAATGACCAAAGTAAGCTTGAAATTGACTTTGAAGAACAGTCTCCTAAACTGCACATTCCCTTCAAGAAGCTCACTAATGAGAGTTTGATGAACACTGACACAGGAGAAATAACAGATTAGAGGTTAGGGGGAAAAAAAAGCAGGAATAACTCAGGAACTCAAATAAGAGATGGGTTAAAGGAAGATATTGGGTAAATTTCTATGTAAACATATGTACATGATTTTCAATATTCGGCATGTCTGTAATAGAAATGTAATCCTAGTACTCTTTTATCAGATGAAGATATTGAGACAAGAAATGATCATCAAATGCCATATATTATGCAACTTACTTCTGGAATTCTTAAATGAGAATTTCAGACTTCAACCTTAATGCACATCTGATGGACTTCAATAGAAGAAGATATTCTTAAACAGATATTGAAACTTAGACGTTTTATCCATTTCTATAGACTATGATGCTACTACTAAACAGATGTGATTCATACATTGTTACTAAACTGACAATAATTAGGAAACAAAAATTTCAAAACATTAAAAGATAAAAGTTTAATTAGTATCATTTTAAAATAGGACCTATAAGGACATTAAATATCCCTATAAGTATAAACAAAGTATAAAATCTATATTATAATTTTCAAAGTCTTTCCAGTAAAACAGGAGGACAGATATCATCTTTGACTGAAGACATCCAACAGCCTGTATGCCACATATGGGGCTCGATATTGATAACTCTTCCTCTACAAACATGCATGTCCTGACACGCCACGTTAGCCTGCTCACTACGGAAGGCCACAGAATGAACAAGACTGTGGTCCCTGAAGGCTGGCAGCCTGAGTTCAACTGAGGCAGACTATTCACAAGATGAATCACAATGAACTCAGCCTTCCTGGGTCTCACTCTCTTCAACTACAAAATGTGAACACTCAAAGTCACTATATCATAGAGAACTATTCTAAAGATGAAATAAGTCAAAACATGGAAAACATTTAGAATGATGTTTGACATGTTCTAAGTGTTCAAAAGTTACCACTGCTACTCAACATAACCAATATCTATCTGTAGGCTCAAAGAACGGAAAATGGAAAGAAATTAGTATTTCACATCTTGTTTAAAAAATTGGTTCAGAAAAAAAAATACATGTATAAAGACATGAAAGAAAGAAAAAAAAAGAACTGGTTCAGTTAAGATACTGTTTAAGTTCTAATTTCATTTTCATCTCATTAGTAAGAATTAGCAAGTGAAGACAAAGGCAGTGAAACTCCTAGTCTGCAGTCCTTCACATGTGAATAATATTGAAAATCAGGGATGACTTACACAGTCAGAATACAGAGAAAACAACAGCAATAAATGATTATTACAGTTATTGATTATTAAGAACATCTAAAATGTGTCTAGGCTTTCACAACTGATCCATATTTCTTATATCCCTGACAGCTACATAAGATGTAAGCATGATTCCCAGTTTTACAGATGTGGCTGAGGCTCAGATATTAAGAATCTTATTGATGTACAATAACAACTAAGTGATAAAGTGAAATCCAAAATTGAATCTAATTCCAAAACTTTCCACTGTCCTATATTCTGTCTCCACAAAACTGCCTGCTCCACTTCATCCATCTTGACTACAAAAGGAAGAATATTTAGCACTTGAAGGAAACACACCAAGAAAAGCCAGATGTTGCTGAATAGTAAGGTGGTTGGCTCCATCTTAAGTCAACACTGCATATGGCTTTGAATTCCACAGCACAGATTTTAAATATTATAAATATAGACCTAGGCTATAGAAGATTTTGTCAGTTTTCTTACTTGGGTAACACTATCCCTGGAAACTAAGGAAGAACAAACTTTGAGAAAATATGAGAGAGAATTCAGACCTACAATTGAGATGCCTTTGTAGAATTGGATCATTAAAGAAAAACAATCCATTCATTGAACAAACATTTATTCAAACACTATATATGTCAAGATAATCTTGAAATAAATTTGCACTCTGACAGTGCTTCACACATAATAGAAGTGTAGGCTGAACTGAACTGAATTTTCTGAATACATATGAAAGGACTGGGATTCGGGAAAAAGGCTGCCATGGGGCACATTACAAATGTGAGGTGAACCATTTAGAATTGAAATGTTGCCCTTAGTTTATTCCAAGGAGGTGACTGGAGATATGATCATGTGTAGATTTCTCATGTCATCAACTCCAAATGCAACAGTCAATCCATGTCCACTGATGACTCTCTGGGACTATACACTTTTTCCCCAGTCATGCAAGCCCAAAGAGAATACTGCCAGATCAAAATGAAAATTTGTACATTCTACTAGGACCTACGCATCCTTTTCCATCTTGTCAGCAACAGTTAACACCACAACTCCCTTCCCAAAATCTGTTCTCTGGGATATTAGTTCCAAGTGATGCTCCAAAAAAAAAAAAAAAAACCCCTGACAAATGTGTTTGGAAAACACAGCATGCTGTAGTTGACTCTGGCAAATTTACCAAATATATTAGCAATGTATATTAAAAATCTCTGAAAAATTCTGGTTAACTCCTTGTTTCTTAACCGCATATAATAAAAGAATTCTCCACAGCATAATATTTAGCAATGTCTCCAATTATATGCCAAAAAAATATACATGGTAAAAAAAATGCTATACTATGTTTATATGGTTAGGATCATTTGGAGGAGAGTACTAGTAGTCATCATTCCCAATGTGTTTAATTCTATTAGCGAGAACTTAAAAAGATTATTTTAAAAGGATACAATATATCTATTTTTTATGAAAACATAATGCAAGGTGAGTTTTTTTTCCTTGTACATTTATAAAATTGAAAAATAGTGACAAGAATTTTGAGTAGTATTGAGATATTATAAGCAGTAACCATATATAATTGAGAATACTGTGAATTTTCAAAACTATCTTACCCAGCTCATCCTGCCCAATTTCCAGTTGCTTAGTGAGGGGCACCATCCTCCTCTTCATCATCATCATCACTTGGGACAAACATTTCTCAGACTATTCCAACTATTTTGCCTCCACAAAGCCTCCTCAAAGTTCACCTTAACTTTACTATATTATTATTATTATTATTATTATTATTTTACTTTCTCACATCCTAATTCAGTCCTTGCCTCACTCACAAGAGGATAATTCTATGGCCCCTAAATGTTTTCTCTGCCTTCAATATCTCCCTGCTGTATAATAATTCATCCAACACACTGGTGCCAAATAGTTTTCCTACTTTAAAACAAAAAACACTGTTCAGACTGCTTCTTAGGCTATACCATTCACTGGCTTTGTTTTTTCATTTGTAGGGGTTTTTTGCCCACCAAAGGAAGTACAATCTCACCCCGCCGGCAGTGTAGTCCTATACAACATGCTCGGCTCTCATCTCATTTCTTCGGCTCCAACCCTCAGACATTCTCCCAGTCCAGTCCAACTCAGTAAATCACAATACGCCTCTGCCGTTTTCCACCTCTCTGCTTTAGAGCTCAGGTTAGGACCTGTGCCTGGAACCATCGCCCCGCTCCTACTGGGTTTCATTTTGCCACTCTAATACAATTTTTAAAGGAGATGTTAACCACCACCTATACAGTGAAGCCCTTTGAACTCAAGTATATCCCCCTTCCTCTGGAAAATCTTAACACTGAGGTTCTCTTGCACAGTTTCTTGTCTTCAAAAACTGTTTATACCTCTAACTTTGCTATTCTTCCTACTTCCAAAATGTTTGGAAACTCCCCTGGAGATAGACATATATTTATCTCTGTATCAGCTGACAAAACATTCCAATATACTCAAAAGGTATTCACTGCAGTAAGTTTGATTACTGCTATAAAACTGTTGCAACCATGGATGCATAGACATAAAACGCCTGTGGTGAATATCATAATGGCTCCCTTCATGTCTGAAAACACTCCACACACCCGTCTGCAGAGGTCATCTTACAACTGGCATGCCCTGCAGTCTTTCTTGCAGAAACTCTCCTTCCTTATTAATGTGATTCCAGTGCAGAAATCAATGAAATGGTCCAATTTTCCCACCAAGAACACTGGCCAGATTAGGCTGGGGATACAGCTCAGTTGGTAGAGTGCTTGCCTCACATGCTCAAGGCCCTGGGTTCAATCCTCAGCACCAAACAAAAACAAAAAAAGAACCCAAGAAGACTGGCCAGATTAAACTATGTTCCTGATCATAGTGATTAGTCCTCGATGGGAAATGAGTATTTTGGCGGGTGGGGGGTGAGTGGGTAGAATTTTTAAATAAATAAAGAGAAGGAATATAAGTAATTTTCAATAGGAACATCAGCTGTAAAAACATAAAAAATATTACCTGGTGCATATCTCTGCCTCTACAAGGATAGAGCCTACTGAGAATAAGGCTACCAAGAGGAAAGCAGAGCAAAACACAGAAAGAAGAGGGAGAAAAATTACCCCACCCGATCTACTGCATTATGTAGTCATGTTGAAGATCAACCCATTCATTAGATGTTGAAGTCAAATAAGCCAATAAATCTGGCTAATTTTATTTTCGATACCTGGCTAATAGAAAGCCTAAATGACTTATATAAGCTGACCTTATTTTTATGTGCTTCAATTTCCTCATCTGTAAAATGATGAGTTTAAAACAGGTATGTTTTAAGGCTCTATTAATCTCTTTCTGGCTAAAGTTTTAAGGGCAGCTAGTGGTTGACTATTAGCTTTCTAAAGCTCATTCCACTTGGGCTGCCTGGCTACATGCTTCCCTCATCCTCAATGCCCTTTGCTCCTATAAACTGCTAATTACCTCTCCAGCCTCTAAGGATCCTCTCTGCACCTCCGCAGGCAGTGCAGTCTGTGCTGCTATCCTAGCACTTAGCTCTGGCCAGTCTAACACTGCAATGCTT